TGGGGAAACATTTCTTTGAGCATGTGTTCATTCGTTTTCTAACTACTGAGATGGCTTAGGTACCACCAAAATGTGCCCTTTGGGCATCCTAGACTCCTCCAGTTTCCACATTGATCATGCTATAGAAATTTCTTTAGGAATTAGAAATATTTGGCTCCAAAGAGGGAGCTGGAGCTGAGGCACTTGGAGCTCAGGTATAAGACAAACCTTTTATATACACATGCACATGAATTATATATGACTTATTTATCTATATGTCTATATATAGATATATGTATTTTTCCCCAATACTAGGCACTGATCCCAGGGGCATTTTACCTTTGAGCTAATTCCCAGTCTCTTTTATTTTTTTATTTTGAGACAGAGTCTCATTAAGTTGCAGAGGCTGACCTTGAACTTGTGATTCTCCTGTCTCAGCCTCTCGGGTAGCTAGAATTACAATCACATGCCACCATGCCTGGTTTCCAGTATATATATATATATATATATATATATATTTTTAATATTTAAATCTTGAACATCAAGAACATATTTTCGGGGCTGGGGATGTGGCTTAAGCGGTAGCATGCTCGCCTGGCATGCGTGCGGCCCAGGTTCGATCCTCAGCACCACATACGAACAAAGATGTTGTATCCGCCGAAAAACTAAAAAATAAATATTAAAAAATTCTCTCTCTCTCTCTCTCTGTCTCTCTCTCTCTTTTTTTTAAAAAAAAGAACATATTTTCTTTCTTATTTTTTATAGGGGGTGGTACTAGGGATTGAACTTGGGACATTTTACCACTGATCTATGTCTGCAGCCCTTTTTATTTATTTTTTTTTGGGGGGTATTGGGGATTAAACTCAGGAGTGCTCAAACACTGATCCACATCCCCAGCCCTATTTAGTATTTTATTTGGAGACAGGGTCTCACTGAGTTGCTAAGTACTTCACCAAGACTGAGGCTGGCTTTGAACTTGTGATCCTCCTATCTCAACCTCCCATGCGGCTGGGATTACAGGTGTGTGCCACTGCGTCCAGCTTCTTCTTATTTTTTTGAGACAGAGTCTCAATGAATTGCTGAGGCTGTCCTCAAACTTGTGATGCTCCTGCCTCAGTCTCCTGTGTCACTGGGATTACAGGTATATGCCACTCTACCTGGATGAGAATCTATTTTTCTTCTTCTTCTTCTCCTTCTCCTTCTCCTTCTTCTTCTTCTTCTTGTATTGGGGATTGAACCCAAGGGTGCTTAACCACTGAGCCACATCCCCAGCCCTTTTAATGTTTTATTTAGAAGGAGGGTCTCGCTGGATTGCTTAGGTCCTTGCTAGATTGCTGAGACTGGCTTTGAACTTGTGATCCTCCCCCTCAGCCTCCCATGCCACTGGGATTACAAGCTACCTCACCCAGCCTATATTTTCTATTTAAATTATTTTTTATAATAAAAAAACCCAATTGCTTTATGGTCTACTTCTTCCATTAGACCACTTGCTGTATGAGGGCAGGGGCCTCATCTGTCTTGTTCATTGTTATATCATCATCTCTGAGCAAAACTCCTGGCTTGATATATATATTCTGAATGAAGAAATAAACAAATGAGTGGGTTTTGAGACTCTGGGGAAATTTTTTTTGTGACTCTGCGGTATGTTCCTGACTGCTAGGAGCACCTGCTGAGTATGGTCCACTCATCCCGGCCACCACTGGCCTGCGTGTGCTGTGTGTGGGCTTCATATACTCTCAGCGTCTTATCTGGGAGATTCACACCTTACTGCATTGGTGGTGCAATGAAAATTGATTTTGTGTTTTTTACAGAAAAGTAGAGCTTTTACAATTGATTGAAAAAGACCAACCCATGCACAAAACTATTGTGGGGGATCAGTTATTGGGCAAACAATTTACAAAAACCTATCAAACATTCCTGGAGTTATAAGTAGCTGTAGCTTGTTCTCCCGCTGCTTTCTAAATCACCTTATGTCCCAGAAGCTTGAGGATCATCACATCTCCTGCAGTAACCACCAAGCCTCCCAAATGTGGTGCTGGGGATTGAACCCAGGGACCTGCACATGCTAGGCAAGTGCTCTGTGATCAAGCTACATCCACAGCCCCTTGATGTTTTTAAACTAAGTCCTACAGAACCTCCTCTCTGATATTGTCACCATTGTCTTTACCTGCCCCGTGTTCATCATGGCCTTAGAGCACCAGCCACTGGTCCCATCTCTTTTCAGGAAATTTAGAGGAAAAGCTACTGAAGGAACAGAATTAAAGTTATGACAGTTTGTGATCCCGTTTCCCATACTGGGCTTGGGTCTTTCCTGTTCATCCTCAATCACAATAGCTACAGCTCACTGGGCATTGACTATGAACCAGACAGTGACTTTCTAATCCTCCCCACGACCCATGGAGTAGATAGTTGTAATAACCATTTTAGAGATGAGCAGAGTAAGGTTCTGGGAAGCTAAGTTCCAGGTCAGGTAACCTAGCAAAGACTTCAACTCATGGCTGACTCCAAAGCCCATATTCTTTCCTCTGTGGCATAAAGTAGGACGAATAATTCCTACTTTACCCACTGCTGTCAGATGAAAGAAAATAAAGGTATTTAGGACAGCGGTGGGAACTCAAAACTCAAACAGTAGCTGTTTTATTGGTTGTGCCAAATCAGATACCATCTTGTGCTAGGTTCTCATAGAGACAAGTAGGAGGAGCAAGCTGCCAAGATTTTAGAAAAATTTATTAGATAAAAAAACTCTTCCTTCCTCTCTCCCTTCCTTCCTCCTTCCCTCCATCCCTCCTTTCCATGCTAGGAATTGAATCCCAAGGCCTTCTGAATGGTAGGAACGTGCTCCACCACTGAGCCACAGGCCCCACCATCATCAATCCAGTTTTCTGAAATTCTGCTGGGGACATGGACTGTGAATCATGTTCTCAGGCCACATATTCATTGCCAAGCTGGTGGGGCAACTGTCTGTCCACTAGAATGAGCTATTAGGTTTAGGGGTGATGACTGACATTAAGGGGAATGTGACAACCCTCCAAGTTTAACCTGGACAGTTTGAACAGTGGGCTTCTTGACACTAAGGCCACATGCCAAGAATGGTCGGTGCCACTCAGTAGAAGTTTATGGATGGCTCGGACCCTCTGGCATTGCCTCTGGGTGGGGGGGGGCAGGAGGTGGGGGAGTGAGGTCATGGGGCCAGGGAAGCCGGCGGACTCAGCACTTTATGGTGACAACACAATGGGACCAGCCGGGCAGCTGAGCAGCACTTTCGTTGTTTGAGAATAAGCAGGACAGGCACAAAGCAAAGGCTCAGTCAGCGTTCAGGCAGCGCCTACCTCCCCCACAAGTGGCTGCCTCTGGGGGATCTTTTTAGCCCTATCTTTTTTCTACCTCTTTCACCAAGCATAGAGCTGGGGGTCTGGCTGGGCCTGAAAAGGCAGCAGGCCAGGTGCTGAGGGAGAACTTGGGAGGTATCTTGAGCCTCCAGTTTTTTGTGGACCTTTTTGAGGTCATCCAGTCCTCTTCTTCTAGACCTGGAGGCCCAGCCGCCTGCTCCCTCTGTAGGT